ACTCCATACCATGGAGTGAAATATAAATAGCGAAAATAAAATCGTCCTGAATGTTAAAGCTAACCTTTCCTGTGATGGTAGTCAAACTGCGTTCCTTCAGCGTTTAACGTAGTGCCTTGTGTGTCCTTACTTGCTGTACTCAGGATACAGACGCCATTACCGGTATGGTCGTAATCAAACGACAGACAAGATCCCAGGCGAACAGCGGTGGTTCCTTCCAGGCATTTTATAGCGCATTCCTCTGGGGTGATGTCTGCGATACTTTCGCTGTCATGACCGGTTAGTTTTATTTCATTATAGACATCAAAGAAGCTAACATAATTCGCGTCTGAAAGAAAGAGCGTGTGATATTACTTAAAAGTACAATACACGGATAAACTGTTGTGTAAGCCTTATTTGTATGTTGTTGAATTGAGAAACTCCATACATTGTCACATTCAATACGGCTGTTTTTTTATCGCACTGCATGATCTATATTGTTCTTGAATTTAGAGTCGTAGTCTTCACTTTCTTGGAGAACATAGCAACAAAAGCTATTAGATATAGAACATCGGCGCCAAATCTCAATCACAGAGTGCGTATACAAATGTATGTGCGTGTGCATGTACATGTATGTGTATGCAAGCATGTGTGTATGCAAGCATGTATGTGTACATGTGTGTGCGCGCGTGCGTGTATCTGGGTGTATGTATGCGTGCGTGTATGTACACATGTCTATGTACGTAGAATGCATGTGAGTATGATTTTTCTATGCCCGTGGTCGTATTTGTGTGTGTGTGCATGTGTTTGTGCTTGTATGAATGTGTGTGTGTGCGCGTTTGTGCTTGTATGTGTGTGTGTGTGTGTCTGCGGGTAATTGTACTAACCTGTTGACACGGACGGCACATGAGAGAGCACTACACAGACTAACATCGACCACAAAAGGCACGAATTAGCCATGTCGGCACACGGCTCTAGCACCCGGTGAGATGTTCAAATATATGCCTTGTGATAGAAAACGTCGCTTTAAGCTTATTTCGGTGGGTTGCCCTTTGTCCTACTTTAACGCACGGTACCTGTGATTGTAAGTGGTGGTAAATGAATGACTAAAATGACAGTATACGTAAACACAAACTTGTGCACTCAGCACCCGTCTTTATTTGTGTCCAGACTCAGATATCGTAGTAGGGTCGACAGGTTATCATTACTCAGTTACGAAGGTTTTTACTGGTGTAAAGTAAGATTATGCCCAACAAATTAAAAGTTATGACTTGCAAAATCGACCTATTTTGTCATACACATAATGTCTGCATCATTTTTGACAATGATTTTAGTTTTTGTGGATATTTAAAAAAACTGTATCCCGCGCCCCTTTTTCTTGGGTGATCCCGAGAACGTATTGAGCGTCTCTCGCCCTCCTGTTTTGCCTCACGTTAATATTTGAGAACTGGTGGGTTCAAATGTCAGTACTGATAAAGTGAATATTTGCTTTTCTCACGGATTGGATCTCCGCTGTAGTCTGTACAGTGCACCTACTTGTCCCGAAGCTGACAACCATGGCACGACCCCGAACAACAAATAAACACTCAGACCTACCCAAGGTTTCAGATAACAGATTATCGATATTCATATAACGTTACTATTGACCAACGCTATTATAAATAAGGAATTTATTTCATTGTTGTCGTGCTGAGAATATTTTCTGAACGTTTGGTTGCCAAGTATGTACTTACGAATTACTAATAGATGGATTACAGTCTCGTTTTTTTTTTCAATTCACAATGACACATTCTTGTTATCTTTAAGTTCAAAGCGTACCGACATCGGATAACACACCATCTGACTATTGTCATAGTTGAAAGGTTATACAGCGGAACCAATAAAAAGATTAGAAACGTTGAAGTTGTTTCATTCTTTATTGCCCTGCAACGCAAGTAACCGATGGTGTCGTGCAAATGATCATTATTCAAATGTGAATCTTACCTTTTACTCCTGTTTATTATTGCAACATCGTTGATTAAATTTAAGTGACTTCTTTATTGTAAATTCATGATGGAGAACCATATCTAAATATAATTGAGAATACAAAGTGACTTTCAACAAGGAGGTTTAACTCTCTTTGCTTTGACATGTCAATCAATTCATATGATCGTAGTATAACCGTTACCCATTGTCCTCAGAGATGTTATGGCTTGGCCATCGTTTTGTATACGTAGGTCAGCTGAAATAACAGAGTGTTGCTAGTATAAAGAAATGCCGCAATGAGCGGTACCTGATTTTAGTCAGTTTGCAATATTAAAAGTTGTCAACACAAGAGAAAGTCATGTGTTAGGTTGACATTATACGTAGAGCCCATACATTTTATGTGAATTTCCAATTGCTTTAAAAAGAGAGAAAAAAAATCTTCAAGACCTAGATTAGTTTATTATCTAGTAGTTGTTAAGACTTTTTACTCCGTGAAGGAGGTCAGGACCTCCGGACGGAGTGTTGTGATCGGCTGATTTTTCATGTTCGCAGTCAAAACACTGGGTTCTCTTTGTGTAATCGGCACGCAATTTTATACGCCGTCTGCGGGCATGCCCGTGTTGATGCACGAATGTGTATTTTTGCCGTTGCTGCTTTCGCGGTCAATGTAATATCGCAGACGCACCCCTACAATTACGAGGCGAATTGGAATGGTCCAGAAAAACGCGTTGTTTGGAATAGCAGTGGGGGGGGGGTAAAAGTTCATGCAGATACGGGGTGGTTTTTATAAGTGGTTCCAGATGTTTTTGCCCATGGTTAAGAGATGCCAAGTTTTTTGGAAGATGTTCGCAGCCAAAACGCATTCTTCCGTACGTCGCATTTCTGTGTAATTTCGCATGTGGTGTGGCATTATGTCCGGGATGATGCACGTCTTTTTATTTTTACCGTAGCTGTTTTGATATTGGAGTAAATGGTTATTTTCGAAACATCCCCATGCCGTTGAAATGTTGTCGTCCGTTGATGTCACCGGTAGTAAGTCGCGGCGGGGCTGATGGGGACGACGGAAATGTGGGGTGGTCAGAGGTCAACATTAGGAAATGTTAATACCGATGACGTAATCCTATCGATTTCAAACTGGTCGGGTGTGGCGACCTAGTGGCGGCGTGTATTTAGTCACGTAGCAACTGGCCGGTCGTCCTAGCAACGACACATGGCCAATATTTTTGGGTTGGGCCGCTCCATAGTGTTAGTGGAGCAGCTCTTTGTAACACGGCGCTCTTTGTAAACATGGACAATATTTTTGAGCAACCCATCAATGTGTTCTGCCTCGTGGTCGGATGTGGTCTGGGGCTGGTAAACCGCACATACAGTACTAGTAGATCGGGTAATTTTATGATTTGCTAGTTGTAAAGGCGTTGTGTAGTATGAGCCGGTATATGAAGAAGTAGCCTGTGTTACACAATCATGCTTTCGGCCGGATTGATGTGCAACTGTTACTAATTGCAGGGACTGCGCTAATGCCGACCAGTCGCGCCGTCCTGATACACCGCGAATGTGCGAGTGTTCCCTGTAGACAGTCCCGGGAGTCATTTTGTTCGCACATTCCAGGAGCCAAACCAAAATACGTTCATGAACCGAGTCCAAAAAACCGAAACGTGAAAATCGGATGATCGGACCTGATGTACATTTCTCTTTCTGTAGATTGTACACACAATACACACATCTTTAGATAATCTGGCCATGGCAGGTAAAAAAAAGTAACCCTGAATCATACTAGATTAGCGTAAATGCATGTTTATGCGTTCAAAACAAGAAAAGAATTTGTTTCCCGGTATTAATCTCTTGAAACACGGCGCTGAATATTGACGCAAAAATATTTCGGGCATCGCGCGCCCTTCCCCGTTGTTTAGACTGTATGAAAATCCCGCGTCACGTGTCGGCATTTCGCATCTCTGATTGGTTGTTGCGACTTAAGATGACTGAGCCGACGCGCGTTTAAACAATTTTTTTTTGTTCGATTTATCACACTTCACAGAGAATTGTCGCCAATGGCTACTTCTTTTTGTTGCAATATATAATACTTCACGGAGAATTGTCGCCTATGGCTTCTTGTTTGTTATTCTGTTATCCTTGTATGGGCTGGCAGGAGGGGAACAGGAACTGGCCAACTTAGTGGAATCACTGGACACTACCTCTAGGAGGTATGGAATGGAGATCAGCGCAGAGAAAACCAAACTGATGTCAAACAATGACAAGCCAATCACGACCAAGGTAGCAGTGAACCAGGAAGAACTCCAAATAGTAGACCAGTTTAAGTACCTCGGATCCATTATTAGTAAGGAGGGATCAAAGGCAGAAGTTATATCAAGAGCGGCTCAGACAGCAGCAGCTATGGCAAGGCTGCGACCCATCTGGAGAGACAGGAACATCAGTCTAAAGTCCAAGGTTAGACTGCTACGGGCACTGGTAATTTCCATATTCCTCTACGCATGTGAGGCTTGGACTCTGACAGCCGAACTGCAAAGGAGGATACTGGCAGTGGAGATGAGGTGTTACAGAATACTCTTAAATGTAACGTACAAGGACCACGTTACAAACACAGAAGTCAGGAACATCATTAAACAAGCTACCGGAAGAAAACACCTTGAAGATCTCCTTAGCATTATTAAGAGAAGAAAGTTAAAATGGTACGGTCATGTGACGAGAAGTAAAGGCCTATCCAAAGTTATCCTACAAGGAACAGTACCAGGGAAGAGAAAGAGAGGGAGACAGAGGAAGAAATGGGACGACAACGTCAAGGAGTGGACCGGCTTGCCCCTTGCCAGCGCCCAAGCGCTGGCTCATGACAGGGAGGGATGGAGGAAGGCAGTGTGCTCAGCCACTAGGTGCCCCCACGACCACCCCCGGTCAAGGGACCGGTAAGACGGTAAGGTATCCTTGTATCCTATGTATCATGTTACTCAGTATGATGTACATTTAACATCACATTCTGCATTTAGCCCCATGGGCATGAACATGCAAATAAACATTCTATCATTATGTATTATGTTGCAGAGTCCACTTGGAGGGCTGGACTGGTATCGGCGTTAGGAGACGGGGATGCAGTTGTAGCCGGTACGAAGGCCGGTATCTTCACATGTCCACCCAGGACCGCAGGGAGAAGCCATGCAGAAGGTAGAGGCGGCTTTTGCTCCATGGGGAACTGCAGAGAAAATTGTACATGTGTCTAATCAAAGGTGCTTTGGGGTCGTGTGGCGTAACGGCAGAGTGCTCAACTCGGAACCAAGAGGTCCCGGGTTCGAGTCCTGACGGGCCGCCGATCTTGTGCCCTTTAAACGACTTTCCTCACTTCGCTCAGGTGAAAAAGAGAATGTATTGCCCATGTGTTGGTGGCGGCATTGATAAGCTAAAAAAAAACTTGAGTGTGTCCCCACCACGTCTTGTGATTACATGTTGGAATATAAAAAAGGTGCTGAAATGTTATAATTAAAACTAAATTGCAACATTTCACCCAGCATCTGAACTGGACAGTACTGGTCTTCTTCACAAAATATGGCGACACTCCTTCTGAATTATGACCTGATGTAGATTGAACACATATGGTCCAAGTATGCAGTTTATAAACAAAATGACCATATATATCATGTACTGGTATCACAGCTGCAGAAGTATGCCAAGTACATGGAGTGTCAGTGTCGTAGCTGGTACTCTAAAGAGTAGTTTAAATTTTACCCTCATCAATGAACTTTCTTCCTAATCAGATGTGTTTAGCCCAAAATACTCACCTTCACAGTGGAACCCAACAACTTGATCCACACAGGTCCAACTAGCAGGACAAGGGTTGGGGTCACAATAGTCGATGTCTGTAGTAACAATAGATACGAATTCATTCGTATTAATTTTATTAGGTTGGTGAATTATTGAATAGCAAAGTTCATTACCTTTGAAACCGCATTAGCTCAGCATTTTTGATAAACAATATTATATATAACAATACTTTGTAACATGTAACACCATGTTCTGATAACACTTTATATGTGTGTCATGATTATTGTTTTATGATTCAAGAGACTGCATTGTTACAGTAATTAGCTTCCATGAACAGTAAACCATGTAACACCTATCTTCAGTTCACAGAAAACTAACCACATTAACCCTGATGAACATTACAGAAACGTCGGCTCTTGTTAAAAAGTGGTTGTGGGTAAAGAACTTTGCTATTCAAGAACAGATACATATCTTATAATGTAATACATAAATAATAAAAAGCATACCATGTTAGTTGGCCGAGTAAATATTTTAAAACGTACCGTTTTCACACAGATTTCCGTCGAACCCAATCCGACAGGCACACACGTAGGAGTTGACACGATCAATACATGTTCCCCCATTCTGGCAAGGGTTAGATGCACACTCGTTTATGTCTGAAAAAACAAAACATATATTGTCCGTTTATGGATCGAGCATAGACAGTTTAAAATAAGGCGTTATGTAATGCTGATAAAGAAGGAAAATGTTTGATGACTAAACACGGTGGTAAAATTTGGGCTGCAAAGTTCCCACATTTCATGGAATCGAACTGTGTTCGGTCGTGTTCGATCTGGGCAATTCGAATCGAACCCCCGTTCCATTTTGGGGTCACCTGCGGTCATTTGCAATAAAGCGGCAAAACAAGCCCTTCTGCCTGAGTGACTCGCAACAGATAAAAAACAACACTTTTCTCTAGATACAAACAGTTTCCTGGACAGTACATGTCCGCTATCATTTTCGGTGGACATGTAACATGTAGCGAAGCTACTGTCGTATCACGGCGGTCTGTCACTGCGGTATTCTTTCCCATTGCTATGCGCGTTCGAAAAGGTATCGGGTTACAAGACGCTATTTTGGCCTGTTTTGGACTACCCGTAAAATATTTGAAAATTAACAAATAATATTTAGGCGTAAATTTCGTAAAATTAAAATGAAATTATCGTCTTAACATCCTTTAAATGTTAGCTTTTTATGTTGAATCACTGATTTTTCAAAATTTTGCTCAGAAAGACGATTATTTTCGGGTTTCCGGGCACAAGTCATGTCACGTTTTTAGGCAAACATCGTTCAAACCTGGCTAGGTATATTACCCCAGATCTCCGATTTTTATATTTTTCGCAGACTAGGAATAAGATCAAAAAAGGATTTTTTAATTTCTGATTTTAAGTCTAGTTTTTGTCGACATATTGGTGAAAAAATGGCATTTTTTAACATTTTTCTCACTAAATTACCCATAATTCAAAATTGAGGCCATTTTTCAAAAATCCCTAAAACACGATTTTCGGGACAACCGTTACAGTCATTTTGAGCCGTAAATGGGGTATGTTTGACTCTCCATGTTTCCAGGTTTGAACGAGTTTTGGAGACATGTCATATTGCCAGAAAGTGTGCATTGTGTTATTCATACTGGCGTAAAGAATCATTACAGTATTCGAGGTCACTCAAGGATACGGCAGTAGCTTCGCTACATGTTACATGTCCACCAAAAATAATAGCGGATATGTACTGTCCAGGAAACTGTTTGTATCTATAGAAAAGTGTTCGGGTTCTATGACATGTGGGAACTTTGCAGCCCAGATTTTACCACCGTGTATCCTTGGGTGACCTTGAATACTGTAATGATTCTTTACGCTTGTATGAATAACACAATGCACACTTTCGGGCGAATTATGCGAAATTTAGTGCGAAAAAAGCCAAAAAAATCGATTTTTTCACATATTTGTCGACAAAAACTATACTTAAAGTCAGGAATTAAAAAAAAACCTAAAGCACGATTTTTTATCTTATTCCTAATCGTCGAAAAATATAAAAATCAGTGATCTTGCGTAATATGTGTAGCCAGGTTTGCTCGGTGATTGGCTAAAATATGGCACTGCGAAATCCGGAAAATTATCGACTTTAAAAAAAAAATCATCAATTTATTCCAAATATCACCATTAAATGTATGTAAAGACAATAATTTTATTTTATTTCAACGAAATTTTCCCTTTAATACTAGTTTGTGTTTGTTTGTTTTCAAATGTTTTACGGTTAGCCCAAAATTGCGTCTTGTAACCCGACACTTTATCGAACGCCCACAGCAATGGGAAAGAATGCCGTAGTGACAGACCACCGTGAAAAGGAATCGAAACAAGGGGACCAGAGTTTGCAGAAGCACCATCCCACAAGACAACGAAAAATTACGAAACTAAGTTCCCATGACCGTCGAATCATCATGGCGGATAAAATATCATCCACCGGAATGACGTCATAATCTTACCGGGAACACTATGGCGCCTGCATGACGTCAAGATGCAATATGGTGGCGCCCATTGACACCGACAAAAACTTAATAGGGTATACCATTTCAAACCTGTAAATAGCTTGTTACCTGTTTCACAGAAAACGCCAGTGTATCCTGGAGGACAGTCACACATGGGAGACTCAGAGAAACAGGACTTGCAGACTCCACCGTGCTGACACACGTCGGGATGGCATGGGGTGACAGCTATGCAAGGGGCAACAAAGGATAACAAACTTTAAGTTTTCTTTATGTACAATATTATGTATACCTAGCTGAGGTTTAGGTTAAGACCTTCCACCCTTCTCAAAACAGTAGTTACTGGCTTCACTTCGCTCTGCAGCTAGATGCCGCTGCTGCATTTAAAACAAAAATGTGGTTCCAAACGTTCATGACTTTAGCAATAGATAAAGGCAGTGCTTACAATGTGTTCTTGAAAACTCTCCAATTGGGCCAACGATATTTGTACCACCTTGTTAATTCATTGAAACATAATCTATTGGAAAATAACACACTCCTCCCGATTTTATTGCTTTAAATGAAGAGCTAAATTAGCACTTTGACCACACTGCATACACGCTAGTGGTTTCTATAACTTACGAGACTCGCAGACGTAGTTGTGTTGTTCCGTGCAGGCGTGGAAGTCTCCTTTGTAGCTCTGGTCTCGGTCCAGCAGCACACAGATGTCGAACGGGCCGTAGATATCTTCCGCCATCCATGATGACTGAACTGTGAACATACCATACAGAGTTTGTACAGCATAGACGGGAAAACATAAAAATACAAAGTCTAACCAACTAGCTATAAAGTATATATGGATGCTGTGTATATATGTCGCTGTTGTGATATGTCTTCTAATAAAGTTAGAGATTTCGGAAAGTAAATCTAAAGTAAAAGCATTGTTTTTGGTTTTGTGACCTTGAAGTTCACAGATCTCAATCTGGTTTTACATTACTTCCACTTCCACTTCAATTCATTCCACATTCACATACCACTCACACAGACCAGGGACGTGTTGGGTGACCTTTAAACCGGACCTTCCCATCAATCAACTGTCAAAATCATCTTCCACCCGCCATACCAAAGAAGCTATTGACAAGCAGAGACGCCAACTCATCTACTCACAAGAATCTACTGTTTCTGGAACTCACACGACATCGGAGATCCATCGATGTGGAGAAGTGTCGGTGTCTCTGACTTGATGAAAGTCCAGTGAGAGACATCGTTGGTGTTCCGGATGATGTCAGTTAGCATCTGCTGCTCATGTGACTGTTTGATGTCCACCAGCTGCCCTCCCATGAAGACACAGGCTGCCGAGGCCTCCTTATGTGACAGGGCGTCCCTGGACTGTCGGTAGCACTTGTCGTTGTGGACTGTCGTGTTTGGGTAAGCACAATTAGCATAAACAAGATCACAAAATGTTGGTTTATTGAAGACATTTCAATTTAAACGTTTTGTAATTACAACTCAACAGCCCGTGACTTAACAACATCTACAAAGTAAAGGTTTGGCGCCGCCTCTTCTTCCGATACAGACAGGCGAATTGAGTCTACATGAACAAAGATTTCAGTAGCCTGTCTACATAACCGGGCTGCATTTTGACCATTTCAATCATTTTATGGTCCAGAGTCCAGATTACCATTAGATAAGTAGGTAATCAGTCACAAGGCTTACAAGTGGCCCTGAGAAAATCACCTCGCCTATCCCATGAGAAAATCGATAATATCTAAATGTATAGGCTATCTTTAGTGCACAGTGAACCAGTCATAATTGCCCTAATGAAGATGATATTAATAGAATTCGTTAAACAAGTGGTTGTGAATAAAGAACTTTGCTTATCATGAAAGTTCATCTGTGTTGGTAGTAATTATATTAAGACGATGAACTTTATTCCAACACACAATTTACAGGGAGATCAAATTTTCAGCGACCACTGTCGCCTTCATCAGGATAATTAATTGCCAATCACTTCACAACGTGATCTCGCGAGAGTTACGGTTTACAAACACGTGACCTTATTTACACGAGATTTTTCTGATACGTGAGTTAAGCAATTGATCAAAAGTGCCAGGGAGTTTATATCGTCCACCATCTCTATTGAAGTGAAGGCTGAAGTGCCTCCTTACTGCCTCTTAAAAGTAGTCCTGTTCAGTGTCCAGTAATTTTAACTCTGTCCAAAGAGACGATATGGTCGAATGATTCGATGTGTAACGTTGCTATTCAATGTGTAACGTTACCTGTTTCGCAGTTCTGTCCTGAGGTCCCAGACGGACAGGTACAGGTGTAGCCAGTCGGACCTCTCACACACGTCCCTCCAGACCAACACGGATTGCCAGCACAGTGGTCTGTGGTTAAAAATAGTTAGGAGAAAATGAATTGCTTCCTGTTCAGAGAAAAAAAAACTCACATGATCTGATTTTGTAACGTCGTCGTGTCTTTTGCATATGCACGACTATGCTGTTTTCTTTGTACACACTTATTTGCACCTAGCTGAGGTTTAGGTAAGGACATTCCACCCTTCCACCCCTCATATAGTCTGATTTTGTAACGTCGTCTTGTCTTGCAATTGTCTTTTGCATATGAATGACTATGCATGTCCATTGATTGAACATACTTAATAGGGGATTCTGCAGCCACGTTTTCGTTATACCGATAAACCCTGGTGCTCAAATGATAGTGACAGTGATATAAAGGATTAAGGGTAATCAGAACTGAAAATGATAAGGAATTATTAGTCAGTTAAATCCTGTTGGTTGAGCGCTAGAGCTACTAGTAATGTTGTCTCAGGGGTGAAGGAACAGTCCAAGTACCAAAGTTCGACGTGTAGGCCTCCTTTCCTGTTGAGGATGAAACTGTCCATTTTCTCATACTTTGCCTCCCTATATTTTATTATTCGTCTTTCAACAATCTAGGATGCCTGTGGAAGTCTTTTTGGAAGTCTTAAATAAGTAACTACAGATGCCATTAATAAGGAATGAGGGGAGGGTATGATGGTTAAAGAATTCGAAAAAAATGGACACACAGTCACTTGGAAGCATAGCTCCGTCAGTGGAGGACGTCCCACTAACACACAATATCAATCCCCATAACTAACATGTGAGATGTCTTCTACACAGGAGCGGAGGGATACTTGATTTGGATAGGTTACCATGTAAACAATAACCCTAACAGCAACCACCGTCGCCATGGCAATGTATGTTTTTCATTGCCAGTCTTGTTATGTCTGTTAGGCCATGTTGATTTGATTATATGGATGACATCCGCGCGCGCATGAATTTTCGGTCGTTTCCAAAGAAAAAAAGTATTCAACCATACTGTAAATCGTACTTGTAAAATAGTTGCAAAATGAGCAAATATATACCGTAAGTTCAAAAAAACATATTTGAAAATGATACCAATGTCGTGGAATGCCAAAGTCAAGTCAAAAAGACGAAAATGTAAAGAAATGAATTTGAAGAGTAGATTACTCACCATACCAACCTTCATGACCACGTAACGTTAGATTTCATACTGAAAGCAACGTTTTTTATTCGCACACGCGCATCAGTTTTGGGGTTTTCAGAGGATGTCATCCATATAATCAATTAACATGGCCTTACTTTAAAAACTGGAATATATTATTGGAAAACGACAAGATCAGATTTAGAAACATATTGGGATGCGAGTTAAACATCATGTTGTTTTAGATCGGGGCAGAATTGATTTGGAACAAAAAGAGTTTTAGAATTCTGGAATGTTTTATTTTTTCGGAACCGTGATTTCACAAGTTATTTGAGGAGGGTTGTAGTGAAATATGCTTACATTTGCTCGCCAATGCTGTGAAGAACGTCGTTTTGTAAAACCCTAAAGCAGCCTCGCGGCTTATGCCCATCCCCACTTAACCCTCAACAGAACACCTTCCCGGACTGATTAATCTGTACACCTGGGGTCCGCGCGGACCCCAGAACAGTTTTTTGCTAATTTTTAGAAATTATCAACATGCTACCAGCTCAATTGTTTTGCAAACTGATGTTGGAACCTCTGTGTCCACATTACATACAAAAATCATACATTTTGAACTTTTTCTATTTGTTGGTGAAGAAAAGAAGACAAGAGGAAATACCCGATTTTTAAACCCATTTCAGACTGAAGGGGCTTTTCAGGCCCAACTTTGATCTCAGATAGCGGCTAAACGGCTTGCGCTAGAAGTATCAAATTTGGAGACCTTTCCTAAAATGTCTCTGGAAAAAAGTTCATATTAGTTTAATACTAGCAAGTTGATGTTTTTTTGTGTTGCCATGGCAACGGGTTTCTAGTAGGCAGTTTTTTTTTAAATAGAAGTAATTTTGGCTTAAACTTAAAAAGTTTCTGAGTTTTATATTAAATTACACTTCTTTTCTAACATTAATAACATCTTACATAATTAAATATAAGTTAAATCATTAATATGCATAGAATATGCTAATTTGATGACGTCATTGGTCAAAATCTAATATGGCGGTCTATATTATTAGCTCTGACATCATATGACGTCAAAAGTACACCAAATTTATTAAAATTTAATTCTATTACTACAGCATTCTTTGAAAACTTGGTAGACATACGATGAGTGCATAAAAACATATAAAAACGGAAATAAGGTAATGTATAAGAACGCCAGTGTATCCATTATGATCGAAAGCCGGCTGGGGTCCGCGCGGACCCCAAAAGAAAATCAGATATAATTTTTTGTATAAATGGTAGAAACGGAGTTTTCTGCACTGTATTGAGAGACAACTTTGTGGGTGACAATTACCTAAAATTTCAGAAAAAAATCTTTACAAACAAAAAAGATATTACAGAATATATAGTGCTGGGGTCCGCGCGGACCCCAGGTGTTCTGTTTAGGGTTAATATCCCCCTCCAGACAGAATGTATCAATTCGCCGCCACAAAGTAGTGCGAGACAGACTGTACGCGTCTGCAGTAACGGTATGCCAAATATGTAGTTAAATAAGTTTTTAGCTAACGCTACTGGTAGAAAACCCCAAGTTGTGGCGGTGTAGACTCTCCTTTTGCCCTTTATCTAGTTTTTCGACCCTCCAGACGTCAGAGCGGATGGATATAATTAGAATGCTGCGATCGTCCGCAGAGATAGGCGTCAGTGCAGGGCCGCCATTGTGAGGTAAGGTTTGTAGTTCGCTTGTCTGAGAGTGAGAACTTTTCCCAGAAAACATGCAATTTTCGCCTGGAAAAGCTGTTTCGGTGTGCATTAGGGTTTGTAGGTGTCACTGGTAAGGGCGCGTTCTTTTCATGAGGGTCGCTCACGGCGTTCAGCCCTTGAAACTCAGCCAAAAAAGAGAAAAAATTCTGGCATGGCGTGGCTAACGTAAACACATACCTTG